AGCCACAGCTATTAATGGGTTTATGTTTAGATAAAGGTGATAGAAACCGGACTGTTTCCAATAATGACCCTCACAGTAAACCGTAGTCCAGTTAAACCGGGCATTAAAAGTTCACAGCTCACGATGTTCTTCCACAGTACGGCCCGACGCTCTGATGCAATCCAACGGCTCACCCTGCATGCCCAGAAACCACACGCAGAGAGATGGCGCTGGTCGCTTGTTTGCAGATGGGCACTGCACGAGGTTCTGGTTAATCGGATCGTAGCTCTGCTTCATGATTCGTTCACTAACGCCTCACGAGGGCCGACTGAATTTCAGACATGTTCGATTTTCTTCCAACCTTCAGATTCCTGAGCAGGAGGTGGGCATGAGAGGCTGATTTCCCCTCTTTACCCCTCTATATCACACCACAGGGTTGGAAGTTTCTTCCATATGCTGTTTTTTCCAGCAGGTTTCTTCTGGAAAAAACTCGGAAGGCCTAATGTACTGTAAAGTTTTGTTTCTTTTGGTGAATATTCTGCCTTAAGTGGCCCAGATCCAGTGATATTCTGGAGGTTGGGTTCAATATCTATAAACCAGGAGAGTTTGGGGGCAGGAAGAGCAGAAGACATGAAAGAAAAAGAAAGCCTTCTGGTGGAATCTGAGGATAGAAGGAAGTGTTTTCCTGCCATTTAAAGGCTATTAGGCTACGTTCACACTGCAGCCTGAAAAGACCCAAATCCGATATTTCTTGCCCATATGCGACCTGAATCCGATCTTTTTATGACAGCCTGAACATCACAGATGTGACTTTTCCCAGTGTGATCCTGGCCACGTGGCTCTGTGGTCCTGAAACCGATACAAATCTGATCTTTATAAATGCGACCTGTGTCTGAACGGCCAGGTCCCATTAATCCCACCTGAACGGCATTAATACTCAAAGATAAATACTACTACTCAGAATAGTGACCTTTGTTAACCATATTGAAAAGATTGTGTGTTTAAGGTTGGGAAAGATCGCTAGATGCGCTTCAGCGCTACCATCCATGCTTAGCACGTTGGCTTGTGATGTCATTGCGTCCTCTACTGCGCATGCAGGACACTTAAGAATGGAGAGTCGCATATATTTGGAAATGTGAACGGCGACGCAAAAAAAATCAGATTTCACAGTAAAATGGGAATTGAGCATCAAGGCCAGCAGTGGGAATGAAGCCAAAGTCAATTATCCCTTCTGCATTAAACATGTAATTCCCTGATGGGTTTTCACCAAGGTTTGGACCAACAGTCATTCATTCATCTAGATTTGTATTACATGAACTTAATAAATGATATAAATTCTGATTTTGTGTCACTGTGAGTAAACTTTTCAATGGAACCATTCCAGTTCTCCAAAATAGGATCTTCCACTTTCCTCTGGAAGAAACTAAACTCTGCTACACAACGCAGGACCCACCATGAGGCGGAAACTGAGTGGAGATTCGCTCTGACAGTATACGCCCGCCTGCTTTAATTCAAAGCACAGGGGAGAAGGAAGCGGCTCTTACTGTGCAGCCCCAGGATGGGGGGTGAGAGCGGAGGAGGGTTGGGGAAGGTGAACTTCACGGTGTACTCTTTAGGCCTCTTCAGCAGCTCAGTTGCATCCTGGCTCTCCTCCTCTTGAGCTCCCTTCTTTTTGCCTTTCTGCTGCTTTCTGGTCAGAGCCTCCTTGGTCTGTTTCTCCTAGACGTTCAATCGAAGCGTCAGCAGGTGGAACGAAGCAGAACCATGACCATCAGAACTACAGGGAACTGGACTCACGGCCTGCTTGGTGGACTTTCCGCTAGCCTTCAGCATCTGCAGCTTCTTCTCCTGTTTGTCGTACTGCTTCTGCAGCTCCTTCTGCTTTTGCACGTACATCTTCTTGAAGGTCACTGAAACACAGAGGGAAGCCCATATCCAGAGGAATGAAAACCTTTCAACATCAACATAAGAAAATTACTTTTTTTATTTTAACTGTAGAAAAAAAAGACTTAAACTGAAACAAAATGTTCTAAACCACTATTAAAATTAAATTATTTTCCAGTTTCAGGCAGCTTCCACTTGGAGGCGGGGCTTAGCTGCACAGGTTGTGGAATGATGTTGCTTTTAGGAACCGTGTGAAACAGAAATGTCTTTAAAACATAGTTGGTTTTAAGCTCAGGATCCAGTTGGACCTGAAGACTGATCTGCTGATGTCACCAGTACCGAAATAAGCAATTCAGTGAAGATGTTTTAAAGGTATTTCTTTTTTCCAATGGTTCCTGAATGCAACAGCAGGGAATATTTTGCCCATTTTATAAAAAAGATAATTTTTGGTTTCAAATTTATCTTAAATAAAATGTTCAATCTCACATTAACTCATTAAGCGCTGCTTTTCTAACTGAGGAAAACTAGAAACTATTTGATAGTGATGCAAACCGGACACTTACAGTAGTTTCCTCTGTAATAGTAGAGTTTCTGGTTGTCTAGGTGGATGATATCAGTACAAACATCATCCAGGAAACTCTGGTCGTGGGAAACGATGAGGAGAGTCTTCTTCCAGCCTTGCAGGTAGCTGGAAACAAGTTCCATGAAAAATTCAATGTTTTTACAACATTCAGAGCAAAAAACATTCAGAGCAAAAAAGCCACGAGGAAACAGAAACATCATTCTGGTGGAAAGCTAATGGAAGCAGAGGTGACAAAGCATCGCTTTCCGGTTAATCTAGACCAGGGGTCGGAAACCTGCGGCTTTTTAACGCCCCCCTTGCGGCTCCCTGGAGCTTTTTCAAAAATGTATGAAAATGGAAAAAAAAAATGATTTTTGTCTGTTTAATAAACAGTCATTATGTTTCCAGTGCTGTAAAGATGTGTATTCTAAATAAATGTAAAGAATAAACGTAAACTCTTCTGTTAAGGAAGATTTGCGTCATAGCCTGCAGCACGTTTCAGCGCCAGGCTGTGGCTGTAAACAAAGCGGTGGGTGTGTCTCGGACCATGGATCCCAAAGGGAGGATTCAAAGAAGAATAGAGCGAATCATTTGCTTTCATTATCAATGCAGAAGGATTTCCTGCATGTTTTATTTGTAAGGAGAAATAATCGAAAAGTCATTTGGAAAAGCATTTCCATGGAAGGCTAAATATGCAGCTGACCACCAAGTTGGGAGGGAGAGAAAAGGTGCGATTGCAGAACTTACAGATAAATTAGAGGAGAGCAAAGATAGATTTAAGGAGTGGATTGCATCTCCAAACTCCATTTCTGCTGCTAGTTTGGTTGCAAGCATAGAAAACCGTTCATAGATCCAACAGGTAGCGCTTTGATGAAGGAATGTGAATTTTCTTCCTATTTTTTCACCAAATCCTCGAAATAAAAACAATAAAAA